ATATTAGTAGCATTTCATATATGAAAGGATTGGTTCCAAAACGCACTTACTGGGTGGAGGCGGTGGTGGTGGATGTTTTGATTTGTGACCTAGAAAATAATACAGTGTGTTTTTACATCCAACTTAGGTAGCTATCGTTGTTAATGTACCATCAAAATATATGAGGCATTTGTTCCTAATTAAACACAGAAATTCACGACTTATAGTAGCTGCATTAGTGACCGTTTGAAATTACAACACATTGAAAAATGTGAGTTATGTCCATTTTTCACACTTATGACCATTGTAGCATCCAAATGGGGACATGATCAAAATTCAGATGCTCATATTTGTGACCGCTGCTGTGTCTCAGGGTCATTTGATCCCCTTTTGTAACCTTCTGAGAAGCAAAAACAGTGGGGAAGCCAGATTCATTTAACAATCGTGTCACTAACTTAACCTCTAAGATAGGGCTGAGGACACAAATCTTACTCTTGGTGGAAAGGTATTCAACAACCCTAACCCTAACCCAAAGGTGGTATTCAGCAGGTTCTGACCGGTTCTGGAGAACCAGTACCGGAAATTTTGAGTAGTTCAGAGAACCGGCAAATATCACCTCTGACTGGAGATATTCCAGTATCCTTCCCCTACCATGCCCACCAAGCCACGCCCACAGAACTGGTAGTAAAAAAAATTGAATTCCACCACTGCCCACTCTAACCCTAACCCTTCTAGCGGCCTTGGGCAGGCTAGCCCATAATCTTAGTAGCTGCTAAACTGAATGCATGTTTTTGTTCATTGCAATGTGAGGCTACCCATGAGTTCGGGCCTCCCTGTCTAATCACTCACTGGTGTTCTCACAGTCTGGTTCCTCCCCATCAGTGACTGTCTTAAATAGTCACAGAGGCAATCCATGCAGGAAATTATATTGAAAGTTTCTACCACCTTCAAATCATCTTTGTAGTGCGTGAAATGTTCATCTTAGGAGTAGATTAAACTCCCTCTACTCTTTGATGGACCTATGATGCTGGCAGAAGACTCATCCAAGGTTTTACCAAGGAAGAGGCCACACTTTGGACCCTGGACACACCACTGAGAGTTGTAGGGGGTTGCAGCAGTGCCTCAAGTAGTAAGACCCTGGGCCTGCGCACCACTGTGGTTGGCAGCTCGGCAGCTCAATTCCCACGAGCAAATAAATGCAGTGGGACAAGAAAGGCGCATCCCCTGATTGCCTACCAGCATTCAGTTAAAGATGACACTGCACTGCCCGAAAAAATTCCTTTCACAGAGGTAGGCGGCCACCTCATTGATCCCTGGCTAACAAGTGATGTACGCTAAATAAATAAATAAACACCATTGAGAGGCCAATAGCGTTTGGTCTTTTCTGGACTTAAAAACGGTTTCAGCCTCTCTTGCCTAGGAAATAATTCCTGCCCAAATCCTTCAAGGCAATTTGCTTGCTATCTGCAGATCTGCCCTTGGATCACCTCTGCAATCTCTCTGAAGAGACAGTTGACAGCATCCCAGGCTCCTGTCAGAAAGCAGGGGGTCTCCATTCCTCCTCCTGATTAGAGGGGTCCCAGAATGTCCCTTCCTCTCTTACACAGGCCTCCTTCCCATTGCTTGGCATGCATCCCCACAGTCAACCAGGTGATGGAAGGCTGATGGGGAGGGTGAAGCGGCATGAGATCTTCAAGAAGGCCATGCAACTAATTGCATTTCAAAACATAAGACCTCAAAAAGTTAATATTAGTGTTAAGAATCTGTCCACCAATTATTTGGGTTGGCAATATATAAATCAACAATGTATGTTTGTAGCTTTAAGACAAAATCACTGTATTGATTTATACTATTTCCAATTGGTTGATTATATTGCAAATTACCATAAAAGGGAGCTAGAGATCATAGCTTGCTCTCTCTGATGTTCTGTCTCTCTGACATTCTGTTGCTATCTAAGGTTCTCTGTTGCATTTATGCTGTGCTTATACTTTGATATCTTTGTTTACTGTAAATGACAATGGCAACCAGTAAGAAAACTTTGTAATTGGATATTCTTTGGACTGTAAAACGTATATGACCTGGACCATTTATTGGACTGTGCTATTTCTTAAAGTAAACTTTAACTCAATTTAGTGTATCTGTGTGTGGCTGAATAATTATTCATAACTACTCTCATAAACTTTTCTGTTCCGGACTAGCAGGCTCGAAAGCCTGCAACTCTGATTGGCCCGCGAATAGCAGATCGTGATTGGTCACCGCAGGCTGATCCGATTGGCTAGTAAACGGGCTGCCGCGATTGGCCCAGCCAAGAGCGGCAAACTCAAATCGCCTTCATTGGCTGCCTAGCCACAGCCAGCCCTATATAAGGGGCTGCTGCAGCTGGGATAGTTTGCTCAGATCTGAAGTCACTAATAAAGAGCTGTTGTTGCTATCTGAGTCTTGCCTCCGTTCTTGAACCATCCTGCCAGATCTAACAGTTTCCATGTGCATATCCTTGTTACTCAAGGGTTATTCTGTACATATCATAACAAGTAGCACTCTTCCTAAAAGAGTTGGCTCATTACAAAAGCTTACATACCTTTTGATGTTTTTTCTGATTTTGTTTTTTCTGTATCATGAGAGGCATGAGCTAAAAAAGGACAGAGTATATTTGGTTTAATTTAATATTCCAATTTCACGACCACCTCCTCTGGAACAACTCTGGGTAGCTTAAAAGTAACATATAAAAAGCAAAGCAAAGACAGTTGATGGAAGACTAGGCCCTAATGGAAACAAACAAACAAACAACAACAAAAACAGAAACAAAGGGGTTCAACCAGCCATCTTAACCCAAGGCCAGATTTTCAACCATTTGTGAAACATAAATAAGATGTCAGAAGTATAGATTTCTGGGTGGGCAGTGATCTCATTCGGGGGGCAGGAGCCATCACTGGGAAGACACACATCCTGGATATGTATGGCAGTGCTTGATAGGACCCAGAGGAAACCAACTGGAGCTGACCACACTGGGCAGGTCAAAACATAGGAAGACATGTGATCCCACTGGTGGCTGGGCTCTAGGCCATGAGGAGCTTTATAGGGGATAATCAGCAGCCTGAACTACACCCGGAAGACCACTGTCAATCAATGCTGCACATGAAGCAATGGGGACATGTACATGGGCACCATTGCACATGCTACTGGATTCTGGATAGTTGTAGCATCTGAATGGTCTTCCAGGGCAGCCCCATGTAAAACACATCACAGGAGTCCAATTGCAATGTGAAGAAGGCATAATTGTTCTAAGGAGCTCCTGGGCTGGGAACAGGTGCAACTGGGATATCAAATCAACCTGTGGAATAAATCTCCTCGCCACGGCTTCCACTTCCTCTTTGAACAGGAGCTGGAAGTTCAGGAGGACCTCTCTTCATGTACCTGTCCTGGCTGGGGAAGTGTCACTTCATTAAAAAACAAAGAAAGGATGTCCTTGGACCCAGGGAAGCCAAACCAACAAAGCCACATGGTCTTGTCAGGACTGGGTTTGAGCCTGTTTCTCCCCATCCTGGCTTGCAAAGCCTCCTTCATGGATCAGACTTTTAGAATGTCACTTGTCCCAGGTGTGTTCAGGTGCAGAACTGGGTATGATCAGCATGACAATGATCCCAGAGCCCAAACTCATGGATCACCACACTCATGGTTCGTCTAGATCAGGGATCTCCAAACGTACAAACTTTAAGACTTGTGAACTTCAACTCCCAGAATTCTCCAGCCAGGAAGCCCACAAGTCTGAAAGTTGTCAGGTTTGGAGACTCCTGATCTAGAGGTTAAGCAGAACTGGAGAGAAAATTGACCTCTTGCCCCGATCAACACCACTTAACACAGGCCACAGAGGAAGGTGGAGAGCAGTGCCAGTAAACCATTACTCCCAGTCCCTGAAGCTTCCCTCAAATGGGGATTTGATATAATGATTAATGGTAATGAATGCTACCGAGGAGTCAAGAAATACCAAGATGGATGCACCATTCTCAGTTTTGCTCTTCGACATATGGGACTGTACTGCCTCCATTCTGAACCTTGGCCTGAATCCCAACTGAACAGGTCTAGATCATCTATTTCCTTCGGGTCCTCTAGAGTGGAAGCCTGATCATCCCAAATGCTTTCTGTGCGAAGAGAAGGTTTGAGACTGGATGAAAATGTTCAAGAATGATGGGGTCCAGCAATTGCCCCTTAAGGAGAGGCACACCACAGACTCCTTCAAGGCTGAAGGTACCACCCCTTCTGCAGAAAACACCACATTACCCAGACCAAGGCCACTTGCTGGGCAGCTGGAACCATCTGAGAGAGACTTTGATCTAATCAACAGGTGGCTGAGCGGACAAACTGGAGGATCCCATTTATCGTCCCCAGGAGTTACAGAGTCAAATGTGCTCCAGGTATGTACAAGGCCGTATCATGGGTACCTCATCAGGACCTGTCTAGACACTCTGAGGTGATCCAAGCAACTTTATTTGCCAAATATCAGGAATATTTCTCACAGCAGCCCTGCAGATGATCCTGTGACTTGTGTTTCTCCAGGGACTGGGTCACTTTAAACAGGATCAATAGGTGGCTACTGGGAGATGTGATAAGGGCAGAGAAATAATGCTGTTTTGCCACTATGATTGCCATGATGTAAACTCTTAATATGGGTTATTAAGAGAGCCAGTTTGGTCTAGTGATGAAGACATCAAACTGAAGCAGGATCAAAAAGACATATAAAAGGATAGCCTTGCTAAACCATATCAGTACCCTACATAGGTCATAAGGCACAACTACAAGAAGGTCAGAGGGCCTCTGCTTCCCATACCTCATCCAGCGTAACTACTGCATACCCTGCCTTCCTCATTCCCTCCTGTAGATAACTAGTACCATCTGTGAATAGGGTATAATCTGGAGCAAGGAGGGTGTTAGTGTTTGGGGACAAACCCCCAAGCAGAGTGCACAGCAGCAGT